GAGGCGAGAGGATTGCGTGAGTCCGGGAGGCCGAGGCGAGAGGATTGCGTGAGTCCAGAAGGTTGAGGTCAAGTGTGATTGCATCACTACACTCCAGCTGGGGCAACAGAGCAAGACCGTGTCTTTAAACACATTTTAAAAATAGGCTGGGTATGGTGGCTCACACCTGTAATCCCAGCCCTTTGGGAGGGCGAGGTGGGAGGATGGCTTAGGCCCAGGAGTTTGAAACCAGCCTGGGCAAACATCACTTGACTCCATCTTTACAAAAAATAAACAAAAATCAGCCGGGCATGGCAGTGCATGCCTTTAGTCCCAGCGACTCGGGAGGCTGAGGCAGGAGGATCACATGAACCAAGAATTCAAGGCTGTAGTGGGCCACGACTGCTCCACCATGCCCCAGCCTGGGCTACAAAGTGAGACCCTGTTTCTACAAGAGAAAAAAGGGAAAATAAAAAATGAGGCTGGGTTTTTTCACGGTAATGTGTGTAGGCAAGGCAGCCACTTAGTTCTTTATAAGAAATTTTCGCCTGTAGGAGTTGAAACTAGAAGGCTGTCCTGGTTCTCTCCTTGCGGCAGAGATAACCACGAAAGGCATGCTGTGCTGTCTTGTGCCCCAAGCACGGGGGTGCAGACGCCGCTCTGCCGTGTTAGAGGAGCCCTGCCTCATCCAGGTTCCCCTCCTGCCTCCCCTTGGGAACTCTGCCCGGTGGCCCATCCGTCTTCTGTCCCGCAGCCTGAGATCTGTGAGCCTGGTATGTCCCGTCAGCTGGGACTCCTGGTGGCTAGAAGCACACATTTCTCTTGAACTGTTTCAGCCAAGGGGGGTTGAGTGGTCTCGGAGAATCCAGGGGAGAGTCCAGCAGTCACAGTGGGGGCGGTGGGTCTCCCTGGGCCTTGAGAACAGCAGCACGGGCTCACTGTCCATGTGGCCGGGTGCGTGGTCACCACAGCCTGGTGGCAGTCATGTGCCTCCTGCGGACTTCCACCAGCCACATGCCTCTGGCTTCACAGCAGAGGCCAAGCACCAAGGACTGAGCGCCTCCCGCACGTGCTGGTGCTCCTCTCCTGCAGAGTTCAGGCACCTGGGCACGGGCGAGGCAGGATCGAGGAGGCGAGGCCAGAGCCCGTCATCTGGCCGTGGGGTTTCCCCCACGTGTGTGGCCAGGCCAGCTTTCACTGTTTGATGTTTTGTACCTGAGCAGCATCTGTATTTCCGTACATGACCCATTTTTATCTTGTTAAAAAATTGATAGTGGCATTAAAGGTATTGTGACTCGAGTAGGAAAGCTCACATACACCCTTCATCCCAAGGAGGACCTGGCTGTGTTTCCTGTCAGTGCCCGTGGCTTCTTTCCCGGAGGTGTGGCCGCGGCCATGCCACCTGCTTTCTTGTCTTCGGCCGATGTGCCGTGAGCGTTTCTCCACGGTCCCTACAAGCCTGCAGGGGCTCTGCTTCCTTGCTTCTCCGCTTGTTGCAGGGGCCTGGGTGCGTTGCTCCTTCACCCTTGACCTCTCGTGGATAACCATCTCACGACAGTCTTCATGCTAAAGTCCCCTCTCCCCTTCTCTGGGTCTATGTCATAGGTAAATCTCTAGGACCGGGACTCTTGTGTGATGGACCTAATCCCCAACCTCCCTGGCCTGTATACAGATTATCGCCCTAAGGCCGATAGGAAATTCTGGCTCGAGCTTCCACAGTCCATTCTCTGTAAAAGTCCATTCTGAAAATGGGATGCTTCAAAACTGTAGTTCTAGAAAGTTCTGCAGTTGTTTCCTAGTCCAGGGATAGTCATCATGGCCAGCCCATCCTGTGTGTTAACTCATTTGGTCCTTACCACGGCTGGATGAGGAGCTGCTTCTGTTGACAGATGAGGAAACTGAGGCATGGAGGTTAAGTCACTTGCCTAGGGGCACTCAACTGGGGCTGGTGAGTGGCAGAGCAAGGATTTGAGCCAGGTGGTCTGGCTCCTGTGTCCTGTACTAGAGACCACAGCCGGGGGCCCTGGGGCAGGTGGGGTCTGAGGCCATCTGTCCTTGGCTCTGCCTCCTCCTCTGGAATGAATGGCCCTGGCATCCTGGTGCAGAGCAGTAGAGGCCTGGCTGCACCCTGCAGCCAAAACAGGCACTTGCAATTTGGTGATGCCTCATCCTGCCCTTCTCACCTCTTCTTCCTGCACTTTGAAATTGCTCACTGAGGCCGGGCGCGGTGGCTCA